ATATATATATATATATATATATATATATATATATATATATATATATATATATATATATATATATAGAGTCTCAATTAAATCTAAAATTCCTTGTTGAACCGTTCTCGAATGCTGAATCGCAAATACCCTTTTTCGGAGGCGAGACCCCTCGGAATATATTATATCTCTCTTTCTCTATATATATAGAATCTATGTATATATTAAAAAATACAATTTTGCTCGCTGCTCTTTTTTATGCACCGTTCTCCTTATAACCCCGGTATTAAATGTTATATCCTGACGAAACGAAAAACAGAAAAACAGATTGATCCGACCGTGCCGCGGATCCGCGTCGTGCCACGATCGCTCTCTCCCCCCCACCCCTCCTCCTTGCCGGTCTCTAGCCGCGCGTAGAATCCTGGGAAACGATCATGGCGACCGTTCCGCCGTTTACATTCGTTTCTCCCTCCCTCCCTCTCTCTCTCTCTCTCTCTCTCTCTCTCTCTCTTTCTCTCTTTCTGTGCTGCCCTTTCTCGTCTCCCGTCGAACGATTCGACGTTGCCGCACGACGCGTCGTCTGCCGCGACCCTCTCTCGTTTCATCGAGGATCGTTCACAACGACCGTAGTCGCTCTGGAGCGACATCAAAAGGTTGACAGTGACCGCTCGATATCCGGCGATCATCGTGTCGTGAAGGTGACCACTACGTCATCGTTCAAGGTCCAGCGTTTACCCAGAAGCTATAACCGTTCGACGTTATTCGGTTTATTTCAAAGACGCGATTACAGGCTGTAGAAGATGATTTTGGAAATCGTAGCTGTATCCCGGAGCGGTTAATCGTTGCTTTCTGATTGTTCGGAAAATTATATAATATAATAATATAGATATATATATTATATATATAAAATATAGATATATATTATATATATAATATTATATTTATATTATATATATTATATATATAATATTATATTTAAATTATATAATACCATGAATTTAGAGGACATTGAAACGGAACGGGTGAACGATTGGAGCAAAATCGGTCGGCTCTCGCCGGTCCCTTCGGTCAATCGTCGCGCTAATAGATACAATTAAGAAACTCAAAGTAAGTCTTTAATCTTTCGTTAAAACGATCGATCGATTTCCATGGAATAATAAAACGGCCGAGTGAAATTAAAGCGTATCTCTTTTGCTTTTCGGACCATTTGGAAAAGCACCAACGACGCGGACGACTATTCTGAATTGCAAACGAGAAAGAACGCGATTAACGTGTCCGCCCGTCCGATAAGCACGCGCGGGGCGAGCCAATTAGGACGCTGGAAAATGTAGGAGAGCCCCCGTCGAAACACGGGGGGAACGGTGAAACGAAAAAAAAAAAAGCAATCAACGCGCTCTGCCGGCGAAAAGCCGATTATGGGCGGATGGTGGCTCGTTAGAATCGGTTACGGCGATTTCTGAATTACTTATGTAAGATCGTGATCGGTGACCCGTATTTACGAATCGTGGGATGCGTCGAGATGATAATAATGCTCCGTTTTGATCTCGTCGTACCGAGAACGAGCGGCTGAGCCAGATTTTGCTCCAACGGCGAGCGGAGACTACGCGGCGCGCGGGTATTGCGCAACCGTCGGCGCTACAGCCGCGCGGCCACATCGGCCGTTCAAGGCCAAGGCGATCGCGTTCCCCCATCCCCGGGCGCGCATCGTTCGGCGGGAGATTCGAAAGCATGAGAGCGGATCGCAGAGTGCGGTGTGCGCGCACGGTCGTCTCGTGCACCTCGTCTTATCATTATTTTACTTTATAGCCAAAGGAATGTAAGGTACAATACTTGATCGTATATTCCCATCATCAGCGACGAACGAGTCCTCTCTAATATACGTGGTACCTCTCTCTCTCTCTCTCACACACTCTCTCTCTTTCTTTCGCTCGCTCTCTCTCTCTCTCTCTCTCTCGCTCAGTTTCTGTCACTGTTGCTAACACGGTTTTTCATTTTTCTTTCGCAGCCAGCTGCTCTCGATAATTCGAAATATTCGTGGAAGATAATGCTATTTTTTTATCCGCGTCCGAACGACCGGCGTGGCCGACGCGCCGGTCACCGCCGGACACCGGAGCCTTAATTAATGAAGGTTAAAGCACAAAAACGCGCGGCACTGGCGTCTCGCGGTGAAATCCACTATCTTTTTTTATCCTTTTAAATCGTATCTTATTATTCTTGTTTTTTTTCTTTTGTGGTTTTGTTTAGTAGTAATTTGCGTGTAATAGGCATGCAACATTTTGCGTTATACAACTTGTGTTAATTGTGGTGTTTCACCAGGTTTTAGAGTGAGTGAGTGAGTGAGTGAGTGAGTGTTGTCCCGTGTATTCGAGGTGTGTACATGAAAATGATGCCGAGCCGAGTCGAATGAACATGAAGTGTGCACAGGTGTGCGCTCACTGACGAGTGGGCGCACGATAATAATTCTCTCTCTCTTACGCGCGCGCGCGCGCGCACTCTCGTAAGTTTCGCGACTTAGCGATTTATTAGTCTACTTATACTCAACAAGGTACTTAATAGTTTTCTTTCCACTCTTTCCCCCCCTCCAGTGAATCCCCGAGCTGCTCTACAAGCTACTTCTATCCGTCTCTCTCGAACAACACCGATCCTCGTTTTAAATTATTCTCCGTAATTCATTTACCTTATTTTATTTGTTTATTTATTCATTTATTTATCCTTTTTTTTTGTTACTTCTTTATAGCGATTTTTCATCTATACATTATATACGCTTACCCAAAATAATATACCGCGTGTGTATTAACAGTCTAAACTCTAGAAGTCTCACTTCCAATAAAATAACGTTACGCACAGTTTTTTGTACAACCCTCTTAGTTTAACACCAGTCGATCCAACGTGTTCTCTCTCTCTCTCTCTCTCTCTCTCTCTCTCTCGTATCCGTTCTATGGAATCTCCTCGAGTCTCTACACGATTTTATTTTTCTCTTTCTCTATGTGTTCTCTGTTCTCTCTCTCTCTCTCTCTCTCTCTCTCTCTCTCTCTCAGTGCATTGCTATTTCGAATACGCTGACGCTTCTCCACCCTAGCTCCGCAATTTCACGTGTGCATATGCATTTCTCGTTTTATTAATGCATTTTCAAGCGGACCTGCATCGGTGATAATACTTCCTCGGTGAACACACTATGAGCTGGAATCGTGCAAAGTCAGTATATCCCCCCCCCCCTCTTTCGCTCTCTTAGACAAAAATAAAAGTTTCTGTACTTCGAAGATAAATCTCTCTCTTTCTCTCTCTCTCTCTCGCTCTCTGTGTTTATCTTTCGCTATATAGCACTCTGTTTCTCTCCAGTTTATAGAAAATATTTACAGCCAAATGTTTCATCCCCTTGATTTTTCTCTCACCGCTCGGCCATGGGCGTCGCCAACACAGATGACATTCGCAAATCACGGATTTCGAGGTTCTCGGTGGAACCAGTTTCTTCCTTATTTTCGGAACACCCTGTACATAGTTGTCGGATCGACGCTCCAGCTACGCCGTTCAATGGTTCCTGAGCAATCGATCGCATTATCGAAGATCGATCAGACGATTTAATGCGTCTACGACAGAGACGTGTGAATGACATTTTGAAACGACGTAGAATTTTTCGAACTGTAGGAATAAAATGTACAGGCGCCATGACGGTCGACGCGGCCGACATTTCTCAGAATAAACGAAATGAGATTGTTGAAGTTCCTTCGAATAAAATTCCGAAGAGAAAGCACCAGGCGATATTCATTTCCAGAGAGCTGTATGCGAAACGGCGACGCATAAAACTGTTGCACTGTTGCACCGTGCACCCGTGCGTTATCAATGGAAACATCCGGCGAGCGAGTTCAGTGATTAAGACAATTTGTTTGCTGCATTGTTCCACGCGACCGAAGCCTTCTGCTGCTCCTTCCCTCTCACACGCGTTCGCCTCTTCCCCCTCCACTCTCGCTCTCTTTCGTTCCGCTGCGTAGAACGCCTCTCTCTCGTTCTCCGTCGTCGATGCGACGCAATGCGATCGATCGCTGTGTGTCCGTGTGTCACAATATCTCTGTTTTTTCCATCCATCTATAATACGTAACAATGCTTCTTAAAAGTATAGAGACGTTACACCGGCTGTACTCCTTCTGTTTTGTTTTTCTTCTTTTTTTTTTGTTTGCTTTCCTTTCCGACAAAACGTTTGATTATGAAGCGAACGCGGTTGCGAATAGTGTGCGGCAGCGACGAAAGTAAAACACGCTCGGGAAGTCATTCGGACACGCAACTGTCCGCGCGTCTCCGAGAAGCTTCGAACGGAAAAGCGTGCCGAAGACGTTTTTGATCGTTGAATAGGCCTTGTGCCACAGCCATTGCTTTTGTCGTTCTTCGACTTTGTCCCGTTCCTGTCCCGTACGCCCGTTCGCTGCGACCATAACCCCACGAGAATCATTCGGTTCAAAACATTCGAAATTCTTCGAATTTTTTCGGGGCGCCTTCTCGCGTTACGCGGACTTTTTACGGAACAACCGAGATTCCCGCGGAACGAAAATAAAATTCTTCCCGGGTACGAACGAAATTCTCGACCGAGATTCTTGAACGACAACGAAAATTCTGAACGAACGAAGACGTCGTTTCCGTTGAACTTCTTATCCGTTTGAAACGACCGGAACGGTTTTTAGGTTAGACTGAGATCGCGAATTTTGATCTCGAAATTTCTCGTCCTCGATTTTTTTTTATAAACGTGTTCGGTGCGGCAGCGAACGAGCGATGTCGGTTTGCGAGACGAACGGTTCGACTCCCAAGAGAAAAAGAGCAAGCACAGATGATATCCTTCTATCGCTATAGTAATCAAGAAGTCGCCTATTATTTTCGATCTCGTGTTTTTCGTTTTTTTCCACAGAGAATTCCATCGATCGTGCGTTCCGTAAAGTAGAAGTTCGGCTCGAGAGAACTTGGAGCTTTTTCTTGTATATTTTCATCTTTTTTTTTCTTCTTTTTAGTCGTGGGTGGTTGTTAATAGTCATATTATCTCTACGCGTATATATTAATATATATATATCTCGTTTTTTCCCTTCCGATTCCCTTAAATTCCTCTGCAGATGTGAAAACAATTCTTTGTACACTGGCGAGAAAACCTAAATAAGCAATATACAGGTGGTGTGTACGTTTCTCATTTCTCATAATACTTCGTAATAACGATTCGATTGTACCGGGTGTCCCGACCGACTCGAACCAATACCCGGATACCTCGCTTAATCGACGAAACAAACAGAATCGTTCGAGGAACATATTGTTATCTTTTTCCTTTTCTTTTTTTTTCGTTAAAATCTAATAACGTTTTCCGACAAACGTGTTTGCTCCTATCGTTGGCGACGGTAGAGAGTAGTATTTACGGTGATCGAGTTAGGTGGGACAGCCAGTAGCGACATCTGGACCCCGGAGTGTGTTAAATCCAGCGAAAAAAGCTACTACGGACGTTTTCTTTCGTATCGAATGATAACGTTGATTCTGTCGAAATGTTTGTTTCTCTGTAGTAGTAGTAGTATAAAAATGATATAACAAGTGCAATTTATTATCCGCCAACAAATTGTTACGCTAACCACGTCTCGAAGAACCTTTGATTTACACTCTAAAAATCGGATAAATCGGACCCGACACATTCTTGATTCCGGGCTCCAGCGTACGCGTACATATACACACACATGTATATATATTATATACATATATTTATATGTATAGATACACACGCGTATATACATATATATATACATATATATATGCAATGTGAAATAAAACACGTATATACTCCGACGTTATTCGAGAAAACAACCTGCATCGTATCGCAGAATATACACATCTTTAACAACACGTTTCTACCGTCAAAAACGTCAACAAGTGTGGCTGATGGGATATCAATATGGCACTAAAGTGATCGGGTGGAGTTTGTGTGTGTGTCGTTTGTGTGAATGTCGCGTTACGGAAAGAAAAAAGAAAACAATTCGTTTATTCGTTCTCTCCCCCCCCCCCCGTCCTCGTCGTATTGTTCTCCTAATTGCTCTTCTCTCCGAGAATAGTTATTTTATTCCTTCTCTCTCTCTCTCTCTCTATCACGCCCCCCCTCCTAATACTTAATAATAAATTCCGTCGCGTCGCTATTTCCCGTGTCCCCCCCTCCCACTTTCTCTCTTTCTCTCTCACGTCTCTCCACGTGTGTCTCTAACCTCTAACCCCCGAAATATAATCTTTGTGTTTATTCGCGCGCTATACAGGTAAAATGGAGTCTATGCGAGTGGTGTGAATGGATGATGGAACATGAATTATACGATGTAGCCTAGCACACACAGCCAAGTAACGCGACACGCGCGTGGGCGACGCGCGCGCCAAAAATTCAATTACAGTTACTGTTTAACAATAGTCATATTAGAATCGAGGCGAGTCAATGCAATTCCTACAGTTTTTTTTTCCCCTCGTCCTTATCTTCTTCGTTATTTTTCATTCGGTTACCCCCTTCCCCATCCTATTTCTCTCTCTCTTTCACACACTCTCTTGACCCTTCTCCCCCGATGTACATATACAGGACAGAGCCAAGCCTAATCCGTTGCTTAAACACGATCGTCTCGATGAAAGATACTTTAGATGAGAATCGAATGGCTTTTATGGGTGACCGATGAATTTGTCTGTATAACGCTTTTATTGTAATTCTGTGCGAAAAAGTATCTTTCAGCAAAACGATGATTCAAGTCGAAGCGATTCCGCGCTTACACGCTCCACCCGGTATATATACCATATAATATACATGTATATTTATACATATACAATGTATAGCAGAACCACTCTGAATCTGCACGCGCGAGAAGTGTGTAAATTGATTCTCCCTCTTTAACCATACCTCCCCTCTCTGTAAATATCATATCTCCCTCTCTATCTCTCTCTCTGTCGATTAATTGGATTAAAATGTTGAACCTGTAATGACGACTTGATTTCGTTTAACCTTTAATAAGAGATTTAAGACACTATCTACACATCTACACCTATTTAAATCGTGTACACCTAACCCGCGACCGCGAACACCAATTCCAATCTCTCTCCTTCTCTTTCTCTCTCTCTCTCTCTTTCTCTTTCTTCATCTTTATTTCCCTTCCGTATTGTATCTCGCGTGACCGCATCCCTCTATTAAACGTTTAGTTTTACTTCTTAAAGAGAAAATGAGCGAATGAAATGTGTATCTTCGAAACTGTACAAAAACAAAAGCGTCGTATGAAACAAGATCCTTCTCTCTAGATTACGTGTTTCCCTGGCGACTGCCGGCTTAATTAGACTAACAGTGTGGTATCCTCTCGTTAAACAACTCGTAGGTAACATTGACTGGCCAACCAATACTGTTTTGCCACTTGCATAGAGGTATTTGTGTATCTTCTCCTTCATGTTCTTCTTCTTCCTCGTCTTCTGTTTGCTTTACTGTTCTTTTCTCTTTCGNCGTCCTCGTCGTATTGTTCTCCTAATTGCTCTTCTCTCCGAGAATAGTTATTTTATTCCTTCTCTCTCTCTCTCTCTCTATCACGCCCCCCCTCCTAATACTTAATAATAAATTCCGTCGCGTCGCTATTTCCCGTGTCCCCCCCTCCCACTTTCTCTCTTTCTCTCTCACGTCTCTCCACGTGTGTCTCTAACCTCTAACCCCCGAAATATAATCTTTGTGTTTATTCGCGCGCTATACAGGTAAAATGGAGTCTATGCGAGTGGTGTGAATGGATGATGGAACATGAATTATACGATGTAGCCTAGCACACACAGCCAAGTAACGCGACACGCGCGTGGGCGACGCGCGCGCCAAAAATTCAATTACAGTTACTGTTTAACAATAGTCATATTAGAATCGAGGCGAGTCAATGCAATTCCTACAGTTTTTTTTTCCCCTCGTCCTTATCTTCTTCGTTATTTTTCATTCGGTTACCCCCTTCCCCATCCTATTTCTCTCTCTCTTTCACACACTCTCTTGACCCTTCTCCCCCGATGTACATATACAGGACAGAGCCAAGCCTAATCCGTTGCTTAAACACGATCGTCTCGATGAAAGATACTTTAGATGAGAATCGAATGGCTTTTATGGGTGACCGATGAATTTGTCTGTATAACGCTTTTATTGTAATTCTGTGCGAAAAAGTATCTTTCAGCAAAACGATGATTCAAGTCGAAGCGATTCCGCGCTTACACGCTCCACCCGGTATATATACCATATAATATACATGTATATTTATACATATACAATGTATAGCAGAACCACTCTGAATCTGCACGCGCGAGAAGTGTGTAAATTGATTCTCCCTCTTTAACCATACCTCCCCTCTCTGTAAATATCATATCTCCCTCTCTATCTCTCTCTCTGTCGATTAATTGGATTAAAATGTTGAACCTGTAATGACGACTTGATTTCGTTTAACCTTTAATAAGAGATTTAAGACACTATCTACACATCTACACCTATTTAAATCGTGTACACCTAACCCGCGACCGCGAACACCAATTCCAATCTCTCTCCTTCTCTTTCTCTCTCTCTCTCTCTTTCTCTTTCTTCATCTTTATTTCCCTTCCGTATTGTATCTCGCGTGACCGCATCCCTCTATTAAACGTTTAGTTTTACTTCTTAAAGAGAAAATGAGCGAATGAAATGTGTATCTTCGAAACTGTACAAAAACAAAAGCGTCGTATGAAACAAGATCCTTCTCTCTAGATTACGTGTTTCCCTGGCGACTGCCGGCTTAATTAGACTAACAGTGTGGTATCCTCTCGTTAAACAACTCGTAGGTAACATTGACTGGCCAACCAATACTGTTTTGCCACTTGCATAGAGGTATTTGTGTATCTTCTCCTTCATGTTCTTCTTCTTCCTCGTCTTCTGTTTGCTTTACTGTTCTTTTCTCTTTCGCTCTCTCTCTCTTTCTTTCTCTTTTTCTCTATTTATCTCTCTTTCTCTCTCTTTGAAATCGTTCAACGAGTGTGACAATTCTGTTCGTTCAACCCAAAAATGTAACTCAATGATTCTACAAAGAGACTCAAAGGTGATATCATTGCTTTTCCAGAGTTTTGATCCAGTGGTCCGAGAGCGACAAACATTCTTTAATTCACTTTTGCAACGGATGAGCTTATAATATGACATTGTTAAAGATCTTTCAAGATACTAAACATTGTACAGACGTATAAACTGCTAAAAGGAAATACTTATGTGTTAGCTGATCGCTATGGCTTGTACATTGTGTAATCTTCTTAGTTCTCGCCATAAGCACAAGGAGAGACTGTTGCAGCGTTTCCAGGTGGAACGCTTCATTTTTCCGGATATCATTGCAAACGTTTGCAAACGAATAACATCATCCGTGTGTATCATTCTCCTTGCCCCTGGTGAACTACCGTACGCCATCTTCTCTCTTTTCCTGCGCAGATAAATTCTTCAATTTTACACACTATCAATGTATCGTGGCATTTTTTTTTGTTTGTTTGTTTGTTTGTTTTCACGTACTGGCAGCTGATGAACGTATCCCCTCTCCCTCGACTCTCCATCACAGCTAGTCTTATATAAGTAATCTGTTCTACTAAGGAATGTGTTTACTGAGAAAACCGTAACCTAGTCTAATTATCGTGTGCTACCTACAAGTTGTTTGGCATAGAGATTTACTTGCAAGATAATAGCGTTTTCATTTTATTACTTAAGATTCTTTTTTTTTTGTTCTTTATCAATGTGCACATTATGAATTCGATTATTTATATAATATCCCCTAATCGACACAATTGAACGAAGACGATGGCTTTGATTCCGAGATGATCAAGGAAAAATGAGGCAACGATTACAAAAAAAAAAAGAAAAGAAAAAGAAGAAAAAAGAAAAACGAAAGTCGTGAGAATGATTGTTTCGATGAGAGGTTGACAATATATATATATATTAGAAACATTGTGTGGTGTTGACGATGCAACGCTAAAAGATAATGTTCGACATACTTGCTAGGACTCTTTTGAATGATTCGAATGAAACGAGAACACATTTTGCTGCTTATAAAGAAGCAAAACCAAAAAAAAGAAAAAAAGAAAAAACAAAAGAGGAAAGATTTTCGAAAAGAAAATGTTCAATGAGATAAAAATCTAGTCGTTTCCTTTCAAACGGGTGATTAATAAGATCAGTGTTATTTGCGACCAAGCACAAAACATATAAAAAAATTCTCGTTCGGTGGCGCGAATTACGCGAGAGTTCGATTCACTTTGTAAAGCAGAACATTTTCGTGCAACGATAGATTCAGCTGGTACAAGTAAATGTTGCGTTACGAATTACAAAAAAAAAAAAGAAAAAGGATTAATGAAACGACGCGCAAAACAATTAATGAACAAGATATAAAATCGTTCGATGAGTCTTTTGCCTGGTTTCGGCATCATCGCCTGGAGCACACCTCCTTGGCGCCAACTGTTATGGCGATCGAGGCGTGCAAGGTTATGTCAATGGTAGAAATAGAAAGAAAGTGGCAAATAGGATACAAAAATTGATACGATATCCAATGGATAATAGATTTAATGTGATGATGCGAGTAACTAACGACGAAATCATTGTACCTTCAATTAAGGTAGAGAAATATTATGCTGCCATTAGAGTGTTATAATAGCGCGACGGCTATCGAGAATAAATCAATTTATATAAATTAAGTTAATTATATATAATATGCGACGCTTGTAACATGTTCTACTAAAATTCCTCGAATAGATCTATCTACAGCAACCTAACAATAGTTTGCATCATTATCGTTAAATCTGTGACTTCTCAATTGCCACTGTGGGCAACACACAGTGAAATTTCATCGATAATAGCTCACATAGAATTTATGAATAAACTTAAAACCATGCTTCACGTTCGCGGACGCAAAAATATTTTGTCAACAATGTTTATAATATCATTCCATTCCATGTGTATATGTACATATATATATATATATATATATATATACATATACATATACATATATACATATATATACACATATACATGCACATATATACACGAAGATGTATATATATATATATATATATATGATTATATTTAAGATATACGAATTCTCTTTCTGTAGTAATCTAATTCAAACTTTTCTTGTGTGTGTGTGTGTATGTGTGTGTATATATATATATATATATATTGTATATTTAGTTGTAATATATACATACATATATATGTATATATATATTTACTCTTCTC